CGAGCGCACAGAAACAGCCTGAGTGCGAGGAGAAGGTTTTAAGCTGGAACACAGGAAATCTGTAAGCAGCAATATATCTGAGTGCAAGCGTACAGTTTGAGCAGAAGCAGAGCAAATCTAAGTGCAAGCAGGCACTATTTGAGTGTGAGGACAGGGTTTGAGGGAAAGAAATACATAATCTGAACGTGAAATCAATAAAGTATGCTCTCAAATTTAAATACCACGCTCTTGAATAAAGATAGGGAATAACCCCCATAGTTTAGCGCAGTGTAATTGTCTTTAGTTAGCTAATTTGTATTTTAAATATTCAATTTAAAGGAATGGAATACATAAATAATATATATATATATATATATATATATATATATATATGTGTATGCTAACTGAGCGAGCATGTCCAGTTAGCATACATGCTACACTGCCCAGCACACTGCAGATCACTGGCGACCGTCGGGGGTCGCCCAGTCTCTGGCACTGTTATTTTGGGGGTCACGGGCTGAAAAATCTCATCATACTTAATCCTAGACAGTAGCACATGGTATATATTGTATGACTTTGTCATTTTTTTAATGTTGATATGTATTCGCTCATAGCCTACTGTGCCTTTCACGCAGACAATACAAGTGAATTTTGAAATGACAAATAGGTTTATGTTTCAAGTTTATTTGCATTAAAACCGTGTTTTTAAACCCTTCTGTTCAAAGTTGATATTTTGTTTCTTAAAAGATTAAATCTTTAAAAACATGCTGTTTGCCATTTTTAAAGTTTGATGGAAGAAATTAAAATATAGGTCACTGACGTGGAGCTTCAGGCCAGCAATGCTTTCAAAAAAAATGTTGGTGTTTCAGTTTTGAGTGAATATGGATGTTAAATTCACAAATGAGTATGAATAATCTTGAACAAGAACAGGATCTTGAGCCATGATGTTTTTAAAGTACAGAAACATTCAGAATGCATGACGATTCCTTCAAAGGTTTTGTAATAGACCCCTAGTACTTTTAATTTATAAAGTAATAATAATACATGTGAATGATTGAGCTCATTAGTGGCCTGACTGGCCCTCCTAATTTGGTCCTTAATGACCCCATGATGTGATTATGTATATCTTAAAACCTTTAACAACTATATTTAGATGTTCACAAATATCTACATTTATGTATAAATACATGTGTAGCAGTTAGACAAACATAATTAATAGATTATCTCATTAATACCTATTTTATATATTTAAAAAAAGTTTACTAAACCACCGTTTGTTGACAAAATGATTTGGGTTGAAAGCATAGACTGTATATATATAAAGGGTTGAAAGTTATACTGTTGTGTCTCAAACGGATAGACTAGGTTATTAATGTATTTGCCTAATAGTTGCTTAAAATGCTACAATAACATTTGCAATTCGTTTTTAATCTGCCATGTACGATCTCTCAGCCACCGTAGTGTCGTGTCAGGTGGGCGTGTCGTGTAGGGTCGTCAATTCGCTTTTAATCTGCCATGTGGGCGTGTCGTGTAGGGGGCGTGTCGTGTAGTGTCGTGTAGTGTCGTGTACTTGCCGCGGCCGCAGCTAGACCATATTGATGATGAGGCAGGCACTTGGTTCTGATTGGCAGTTCCTGTATTTAAGAGCACAGCTTTAAAAGGCCCATCTTTTGCGCAGGTCGGCCATTTTGTCAATCCAGCAACACCCTCACTGGTACGTGGTAACTAAAGGCAAAATTATCTCAATTCTTTTTAAAGTGTGGCTTAGCAGAAGTTATTTTAATGCACTAGAAATGGGAACTTTAGTACTAGTAACAAAATGTATGAAACTAATCCTATGTGTGTCCTCATATCTGTTTGCTGTTGTATGTGCATTGTATAAAATGTTTAAAAGTCAGCAAACGCAATGAGGAGAAACTTGTTGGTGGGTTTTTTAATTAAATGTCATGATAGTAAACTAAATTATTTACGATTATGTTTTAGGAGATGTTTGTGTGTATTTCATATCAAAACCACTTAGACATTTAAGGTTAAACAATTTAAATACTGGGTTTGTCAGCGTTTTGAAGATACTGCAAATTCAGTACGTTTTGCAACTTTGATTGAATGTTCATTGAAATGATTGCTCATTATGTTTAAAACATTATCTCAGCATTATCAATGTAGTTATTGATAGGATCATACAAATATATAAATATATATTTGGGGGTTTCGGTTTAAACCTCTATGCCCGATTTCTTGCATCTCTAATCTGACTTTAGTGTAGCCATGTCGCTATGTCCAAGAATAATTTAATTTCCCTTTAAATGTTAACTATTTAAAAAAAAGGTTAGAAATTCTGAAAGAACAGATTTAGGTCAGAAAAAGGGAGATGAATAAACATAGAATGCTGAATTTGAGTGTAAATACATATAATTAAAAAGAAAGTGTTTCACCCAGCTTCTACACAGTCTAACTGTTGTTTTGAGCTGCTCTACTATCATGAAACTTGGTTGACCAATTATTAAAACAGAATTAAGAAAAATATTTCTTCAGACAATCTTTTCATTTTCTTTGATCTCATTCCTTCCTTTGTCAACTCGAGTTAGAGAAAAACTCAGCTGCTCCAAACATACTTACAGGGCAACATAAGTATCTGTATGAGAGCAGTTTTTCTATCCTCAAAATAGCCCTGATAATGTCAGAGTGGTTGATATCAAGTTGCATTCTGGGAAATGTAGGCTCTAGTCCAACATCTTGATGGAGGAGCAATGTTACATTTACACTACTCCAGGACTCAAATCCAGAACTCAGGATAGAGGGTCCAGGACTCAGGATAGAGGGTCCAGGACTCAGGACTCAGGATAGAGGATCCAGGACTCAGGATAGAGGGTCCAGGACTCAGGATAGAGGATCCAGGACTCAGGATAGAGGGTCCAGGACTCAGGATAGAGGATCCAGGACTCAGGATAGAGGGTCCAGGACTCAGGATAGAGGATCCAGGACTCAGGATAGAGGATCCAGGACTCAGGATAGAGGATCCAGGACTCAGGATAGAGGATCCAGGACTCAGGATAGAGGATCCAGGACTCAGGACCACAGCAACAGGATCAGCCACGACTCAGGATCCCGGCGTAGATAGACACCAAAAAGACATTTGGGGAAGCTGGGTTATTCGGAACATGAGAGTACACAGGTTATGTTCATTTTCCACTAAAGCTCTTGAAATGAGAAATACTTTTATTTCTTAGTTACATCCTGAGCCCATCTATTCTGCATGTGGACATTCTTTGTGCTAAAAAAATATACGCTGAGATTAAAATGTATTTATCAGTTAGATAAAAATTACTCATATCAAATCAAAAAAGTACTCAATATGGTAAAATGTCTACTCGTATAGGTCCTAATTTCAGTCAACTAGAAAAATAATACGTTGGCCTGAAGGTGGCAGCAGATAAAAGGTCATAAGGTCGTAGAAATCACCGTTAAAATTTATACCAAGCACCGAAACAAAGGTGACTTTAACCTCTTGGTTCGCTGCTTAACTACTGCAGATTTTTTAATCAGTCACATAATGAAATAAGTATATTGATATATAAGATAAGGTAGCTAAAAACTTTAGGATCAGACCTTGTTTTTGTAAGGGATTAAATGAACAAATCTTATGTATGATTTAGTTTTTGAGGGATGCTCTTGTGTACCTGGTGGCGGGGGCGGCCCACGATGGAGGGAAGACGGCTCTGGGAGCATCGTCTCCAGCGAAGCCAGCCTTCACCAGGCCGGAGCCGTTGTCACAGACGAGGGCGGTGGTCTCTTCATCGTCACACATGTCTGCGGCTTCTGGAGGAGGAAATGAGGAGGTGGTGAGTTATTCTGAAGCAGATACAGTAGGGGGAGAGAAAAACATGCATGCAAACTAGAATATCGACTTGTTTTCTCAAATAAAATACTGCAACACCTTTCAGTGGTCTCAATCAAAGGTATTTGTTGCCAATTGTATTATTTCTTACCAAAAACGAGTTTGCAGCTGTTTCAAAAAACAACTCTTTTGAATGTAAAGTAATTCACTTTCTGCCTATCGTTATATTTTCTTAAACCCCAGACAGACCTCTGTGGTGTTGTTCTGTTTAAGGAAAACAATTAAAGATGAAATGCATATGTTATTACTATTAATATGTACTAATATGTTATATTTTATTAACTTTCTAACACTTGTGGAGTTTGATGATCAACACACCAACACATACTCCCTGTTCCATTTAAATTGTCACACACTTAAAGGTAGGGTAGGTGATTTTGGAGAAACCAGCTCGAGTGCGCTGGAATTTGAAAATACACAACCGGAGAAAATCTGCCACTTCCTTACAGAGCCCCTCCTCCAACACACACGAACGCGCACATGACCAATGAGGGCATGAGATAAGTTTGTGCACAGATGGAAGGCTGACAGGCAGGTAGGCCATCCAGTTATTTTAGCCGGGCCGGCTAAAATGATTGGTTGTGCTTTTTACAGTACTACGGCTTCCACAGATGACATTTTTTTATGGATTTGTTGTCAAAGCACTTAAGATATTCATTGCTATCGGGATGTTAAGAGCATTCCATGGAATATAACAAAAAGTGTATCTCAAGCCGGTTTCTCAAACTTACCTACCCCACCTTTAAATAAACAGTTGATATTACTTTAAGTAATAAAAGGATAATGACTTTATCTCATGCAGTGTCTGGGTCCTGTTAATACTTAAATCTGAACAACGTGCAACAACGCACAGTTAGAGGACTGTAAGAGGCAAACCGAGGGGAAGTAAAAGGTGAGCCGCTTCTTGAAGTTTCCTGAGCTGCCATGTGTGCTCAGAGACTTTCAGAGATCCTGTGTCTCTGAGCTGCAACCACAGCTTCTGTTCGAGCTGCCTGCAGACATTCTGGGAACAAAGTAAGAGCAAAAACTGTGCACTTCAAACTTTGATATATGAGCATTTTCCTTTTTATCACGTTTTTTTTTTTTTAAACGTATTAAATCTTATGTGTTTATCTTCCAACAGATAGGCCTACCTGGACAAAGTCATCGTCCTGAACTGAATACCAAAGTACATGTCCCTCTGAAAGACATCCTGACTCCATCTGGTGGTGAATAGATGACATAGCAGCATTTCCTGATGTTGATAATTCACCCTGCGACGGAGGGCAGAGAAAACGAAAGAGGATTTTGACATTGTTGAACAGAGCTGAGACGCCATTACAGGGTGTGAGATCTCTGCTGCGAGACACGTTTGGAGTATATTTGGGGAGAAGTGGAGAGACATTGGAAGTTGGTGAGTCCTGCTATTGAAAATAACTTTACTATCAAATGGCTGAGAAAACCGTTCTTGTTGAAAGTTTCCTGAGCTGCCATGTGTGTTCAGAGACTTTCAGAGATCCCGTGTCTCTGGGCTGCAACCACAGCTTCTGTTCGAGCTGCCTGCAGACATTCTGGGAACAAAGTAAGAACAAAAACTGTCCCATTTGTAAAAGAAAATCTTCTAAAGATTTTCTTTTGGTGAACTTTACACTGAAGGAGCTGGCTGACTCATTTGCTGAGAGACAGAAAGCTGGATCATCTGAGACAGAAAAAGGAGAGAAGAAGGTGGAGGTGGTGTGTAGTAAACATCCAGAAGAGCCTAGATTGTTCTGTATGGATGAAGAGAGAGCTGTGTGTCCTGTCTGTGAGTTTTCTCTCCACCAGAGTCACAAGGTGGTTCCTGTAGAAGACGCAGTCAGTGAGCTGAAGGACCTGCTGAAATCTGACCTAGAGTCTGTTAGAAATTAAAATCAATGTTTAATAGCATAATTTAGTCTAAAACATATCGTCAGTTTAAAAGCTGTTTTATTGTGAAAAAACCCAGAAGTTCTCGTGAAATCTCAATGCCAAGCTTTTATTCTGAAAATCCTTCATATCCGGTCAGTATTTAGCATGTGGCTAATATTACGTTTTCTGAATGTGAAGTGAAAATGACATGGAGTGTTGCACACCAAAACCTACGGACTTTAACACTACATCTATAGACGTCGAGATATTATTACTGCTGAATATTAAATGAAGGTACTGTAGTGATCACTGATTCATACACTGGGGTTACATAATTCAATCCGGGAACTACAGGTTGGGGGTATTGTTTCCGCCCGGACATACATGTTGACGGTACCTCCGGGGTACCTACTGTGTGTCCTCCTCTTTCACTTTCTCTTCTCCTCTTTCCTGCAACCCGACAGCACGTCGATTTCTGCTCCCCAATAAAGAGAGATTTGCACCTCCGATGCACCGCCTCCGTCTCCCTTCTCTCTGCACTACATTGGTGACCCTGACATAAGTCTCGCGAAGGATCCGAGACTGAACCGAACACGGCAAAAAAACTCTTGTTTTTTCTCGAAATGCCGGAGATTTTTGGGGACCTCCGTTGCTGCCACGTGCGCACGGACTGAGGCTCGGTGCGCCCCACGGAATGGCTGGGGACGTCGCTCGCCATTCCCGCTTCGTCTCGGCACTGGAAGGCAGCAAGCCTTCCTGCTACGAGGAGACGATGCACGACCTGCTAGGTATGGAGGAACCCGACTTCTACCTCGTGGGGCTGTTTCTTCGGGACATGCGGCTGCATGTCCAGGCTGCGCTAGCTAACACGGCTAGTGTTGAGCCCCACGCTTTGGCCGAAGAAGCTTGCCGGTTCTTCCTGGCCGCCCGGCGATTTACCCCTGAGGTGCTTGCCACTGCTCGCTGCAGCACCTTCCCTGGGGGGGGCTCGCCGCCTAGCAGAGGCTCCGGGGCCGACGACGGCGACTACCGGCCGTCGAGAACGGCTGGCCTCGACTGCTGACGACAGCTAGCCACGACAGCTAACGGCTAGCTGCTACCAACGGCTGACGGTGACTGGCAGCTACCGGCGGCTATCGACGTCCGACTGTTTTTTTATTATTTTTTTTTTTTTTGTGGTGCCGGAGAGGAGGTTCGATCACGTCTGGTCGGCCTCGTGTGGACCCTCTCGCTATTTCGCCCACCTGTTTTTGATCGTGGACGGGACGACCCTTTGAGCTTTTTCTGGTGCCTGAGAAGAGGTTTGACTATGTCTGGTCGGCCTCGTGTGGACCCTCTCGCTGTATCACCACCTCGACGGCGGTTTCGGACGTCACACACTCCTGCTTCGGCCCGTGGGTGACGCGCTTCTGGACCCCGTCTCGCCTCTTCCCTCGCCTCGGCGGTTTCGAACGCACGCTTCGGGACCCTGCCTGGCCTCTCCTCTGACCGCGGCTCACGGTTCGCCTCGACGGCGCCCCGTCTGGCCTCTCCCCTGTCCACGTCTCCCTCCTCCCGGGGACACGGCTCCTTCCTCCCGAGGACTTCGTGCCCGCCGCCGCTGTGCCTTCGCCTGCGGCCGGGCAGCGCTCCTCCCTGCTGGGGACCACCGGGTTTTTTCCACGCCTGTCCCCTCGTCGCTACACGGCGACCCTGCTTTCTGCGGCCCCCTGACGTCGGCCCGTTCCGGCCCGCCCCCCACCCTCCGGTGGGGATGCCCTCGCCTTCGTTGGGGCCCCTACCCTCTCCTGCGGCCCCCTTCCGACGACCCGTTCCATGGCCCGCCCTCCTCGGCCCCTGTGGTGCTTCCTCCCGACGCGAGGATTGTGTCCATGGTTGAATTCTGGGGGGACTTGTGTAGTGATCACTGATTCATACACTGGGGTTACATAATTCAATCTGGGAACTACAGGTTGGGGGTATTGTTTCCGCCCGGACATATATGTTGACGGTACCTCCGGGGTACCTACTGTGTGTCCTCCTCTTTCACTTTCTCTTCTCCTCTTTCCTGCAACCCGACAGCACGTCGATTTCTGCTCCCCAATAAAGAGAGATTTGCACCTCCGATGCACCGCCTCCGTCTCCCTTCTCTCGGCACTACAGTACAGTTGATCGTAAAGTGTTTTCACATACGTGGGCATAGATATATATAAACACTCTGAGGGCCGCAATAGAAATAGGCTCTAAGGCTTTATTGTGTTTTTATCCGTGGTGATGATGTTTGTATCTTGTAGAGCTAATGTGCTCTTCATTTGAACTATCTCCTTATAAACTCAATCAAGGTCTCCCTGGCTGCTCAGACTTTGAGTAACTCTGTGGCAGTGGCGCTCCGCACCTTGCGGGAGATGGGCTATGCAGAGTTCAAAGACTGTGAGGCTACTACAGACTTCATTGAGGTAATACAGCTAGGGATTTGCATCATTGACCAAAATTCATTTTCCAATATTCTACTGTTCTTAACAACATTTGAGTGATTAATTGCTTTAATCCATTTGATCCTGGTGGCATTCCCATTTTGTCATGTCATCACAGGTGAGATATTTCAGATTTTAAGTTTTCACAAAAACGTGAAAACACACCGTTTGTAGATCTTCTGTTTTTGTTGTTCGTTATATAACACAACATTAATACATTAACATTTGAATTGGGCATCGGGAATGATTAAATATTTATGACCATCCGCAAATTCAACAATATGCAAGCACTTGGATAATGTTTATACTTACCTCATACTTATCTCAGAAGCACCCTTATTGTCACATCTCAGATTTACAGGTTTAAAGCAGTGCAGCAATTTCATTTTAAAAAGCACAGCCACAGAGGAAATATAGTTCTATCGCTATTCCTCATACTTGGATGTTTACTATCTGATACCTGTTGACACCCAGTTATGGTGATGATTTCAGTGCTTCCAGTTAATTTAGATATTTGTTTATAGATAACGGACAGGCTGTTTGACATATTGAACAGCCGCAATCCCAGAGCCAAAGGGTTCAAAGCCCCCCTTGGTTCTAGGAATTGGACAAGCACCAGGGAGTTCTTGTCAAGAGCCAGGGGGTACTTGCTCACTTTGAAGATGGAAGATGGCACACCCCTTTACCGAACAAAGAGGTGTTTTAAAATAGTGAATGTTCTGTTGGTGATGCACTGATACCATTTTCGCCCCACACAAGTATAAGTGCAACTACTCAACTTTTTAGTAGTCGCCAATACCCAGTACAAATGTATTATTATTATTTATTTATTCTTCGTTAGATGTATACAAGTAGTCAATTTACCAATCATTAAATTATCTAAGGTAAAACTAAGTAGTACTGCTTTGGTGCTCTGACTGAGTATCTAAGATTTGTAACGGTTACCTCAACTCTACCGGTTTCAGTGCATCCCTAAAGTCCATGACATAAGTTCATGAGATGCTCTGTTCTCTTGTTTATCATCAAGTTTATGTGATTCTCTACTATCTTCTGCATCGAGTTGAGATGCTCTGTTTTCCTGTCTGCATCGAGTTCATAAGATGCTCTGTCCTGTCTGCATCGAGTTCATGAGATGCCCTACTCTTCTGCATTGAGTTCATAAAGTGGTACGTATTATACACTATCTTGCTCCAATGTGTTTGCTGTCAGCGAATTTGTCTCTGTTCCTCTGTTGTGTTCAGTTTTTGTTCCCCCAGATGCAGGTGTCAAAATGGTATGTATTGCATGGTCTGCATGTTCGGTGGTGAATTAATTCAAGCAGGTTTAGTGTCCTAAAAGTAATTTTAAGGATCCTAAACCTCACACTGATTATACTTTTAAGATCAGGGATGCAAACTAGTCAGCTTTAGGGTACAGTCCCCTTTTCCCCCCAAAATGTGGCAATGAAGTGAATTGTGTGAATTGTGTGAAATGTGGATTTGTATCTGCCCTGGCAGCTCCCTGAGAAGTGCTGCTCTGGGAGCATTAACTATTTTCACCCTATACCGTATGTGTTTGCATCCCTGCTTTCTTGTCTCCTGTTTTGGTGGGATCATCATAGTAATACAATATTTGCTTTTGAAGGTTCCTCTCTATCCTGGGCTTCATCATCAATATCGACACGTTGATGTTGATGGTTCCTGTGCTGCTTGAAGGACAGCGATATGTCCTGACCTACAGGTTCAGCCAGGACCACTTGGAGCTTCTCTTTAACTCCATCAGAGCATCCGGTAGGGTTCATATTTACCAGCCGCAACACTAAGTGACAGCAAATGCTTGTATTCTTTTCAGTTTGTCTGTCCATATGTTTGTTTGTTTTTTTGGAAAAATGCGGTTCTGAAGACATATACAGTATCTGGAAGTGTCACAGAAACCATTTTGAGTATTAAGAAAAATGTCTGTGTACCTTATCTTTCTTACAGTGCAGACGCTTTTCCGCTTGCTCTTGCCTCTGCTTACTTTTTATGCTGATTTTCCTATTCTTATTCTCTGAAAACTTCGAGCAGCGGCTCCTGGACATTAACTTATCACTGGG